TTGGTCCCCACTGCTATCTCTATAGTTGAAGTTCTCATTTCTTGTTTGGGTCATTTAATAGTCTGCTACTGGTTACATGGTCATCAGAGTTACACAGCCAACCCACCTACCTCTCAACTACTAAAGTCATTTTTTTTTAAAAGCATAATTCTATTCACATTCTTCAATGAGTAAACGCTTAAATGACTCCCTATTGCTCACAAGATCAAACTCAAGCTTCAAAGCCTATCACACAGTCTTTGCCTACTTCTCCAGCCTCAAAACTTTGTGTTCCATGCTTATTTATAGACCATGCTCTTTTATTCCTCTATGTCTTTATTCCCTTTATGTGGTCTAAAATGTTTTCCTCTTTTGCCTGCTTAGTGAAAACTCACTAATCTTTCAAGACTCAGTTTATGCCATTTCGTTTATGAAGCACTCTGCTCCACAAACTGATAGAATTGGCCATTCCCTGATTTGTGCCCTATATATAGTACCTTATAAATGCTATTATTTAAATACATATATGCTTAGTTGCTTGGTCATGCCTGACTCTTTGTGACCCCATGGACTCTAGCCCACCAGGCTCCTCTGTCCATGGGATTTTCCTGGCAAGAATGCTGGAGCGGGTTGCCATTTCCTCCTCCAGGGTATCTTCCTGTCTGCTGCATTGTATGTAGATTCTTTATTGCTTAGCCACCAGGAAGCCAAAAACCTGCAACATTTTACAATTTATTCACTTATAACCTGTTTTCTTCTTAACTGCTCAATAAGGATTGTGTCTTAGATAATCTTCATGTATCTCTGGCATGTAATTTTTGTTATATTCTTCCCATACCCCTGACATATAACTTTTATTAAATACTTTTCTCCCTGCAAGTCAATGGCTTTTAGTATATTCACAGATCGCTATAATTTTAGAAGATTTTTGTTACTCCAACAGTAATCTTGTGTCCTTTAAATATAATCTTCCCAAGTATCCTACACCTCCCAGCCCTAGGTAGTCAGTAAACTATTTTCTGTCTCCATGGATGTGCCTCATCTGGACATTTCATTTACAGGAAATCACACAATATGTGGCCTTTTGTCTAGTTTCTTTCACTTAGTACAATATTTTAATGATTATCCATATTGTACTTTCTTTTTTGCTGAATAATACTCCATTGTATGGATATACCAAGTTTTTTTCTTCACTCATTCGTTGGTGAAGATCAGTTTTTCTCCACTTGTTGGCTGCTATGAATAATTCTGCCATTTATGTACAAGTTTTTGCATGGAAATAAGTTTTTACTTAAATAAATAAATAAATAAGTATAGTTACATATAAATAAATAAATAAGTATATTTACATATACTTATATATGTACTTAGGAGTGTAATTTCTGGATCATATGGTAATTATATGTTTAATCTTTTGAGGAGCTTCAAGTCTGTTTTCCAAAGCACTGTACCATTTTTAAAAATTGAGGTGAAATTCATAACATAAAAGTAAATTTTAAAGTACACAATTAAGTAATACTTAGTGTATTCACAACCATCGTGTATTTTTATTTTCAAAACTTTTTCATTAGCCCAGAAATACACTTTATCCTCATTAAATAACTCTCCACTGTCTCTCTGTGTAACCACTGGCAACCACGAATCTTCTATTTCTATGGATTTGCCTTTTCTGGATATTTCACTTACATTTCATATAATAAAAATCAAATAACATGTGACCTTTTGTATCTGGCTTCTTTTACTTATCATAACGTTTTTGCGGTTCATCCAACTTGTAGTATGTTCCAGTACTTCATCCTTTTCATGGTTGAATGATATTCCACAGTATGTATATACCACAATTTGTTTACCTACTCATCCATTATTGAGGTCGTTTCCATCTTTTAACTATAAAAAGTAATGCTTTTATAAGCATTTATATAAAAACTTCCAGTGTGGACATAAGCTTTCACTTCTCTTGGGAATATTCCTAGTAGTAGAATTGATGGGTCATTGGAATTGATGAGTCATATGGTAATTCTTTCCAAATATGGTGCTGGAGAAGACTCTTGAGAGTCCCTTGGACAACAAGGACATCATACCAGTCAATTCTAAAGGAAATTAACTCTTTAACATTCTTTGGAAGGACTGATGCTGAAGCTGAAGCTCCAATATTTTGGCCACCTGATGAGAACAGCCAACTCATTGGAAAAAACCCTGATGCTGGGAAAGAATGCAGGCAACAAGAGGAGAGGGCAGCAGAAGATGAGATGGCTAGACAGCAGCACAGGCTCAATGGACATGAATTTGAGCCAACTCTGGGAGATAGTGAAGGACAGAGGAGTCTGGCATGCTGCAGTCTAAGAAGTCACAAAGAGTTGGACACAACTTCAGTCACTACTGAACAACAACAAATGACAATTCTAAATTTAACTTTGTGAGGAATTGCCAAACTGTTTCCCACAGTGGCTGTACCATTTTACATTTCCACTATGTATGTGTGAGGGTTCCTATTACTCCACATCATTTCCAAATCTTGTTATTTTCCTTTTTTTAATTATAGCCATCCTAAATGAAGCTCAGCTGGGGAAGACGGTATGCTGAGCTTGTGGAAAGTTGCATTATCAGCTGGTGAAAATGACTCCATGTTCTGGCCCCTTTGGAAAACACCAACATACAAGCTTGCCTGCTTCTTGCCACTGGTTTTTGTCTCTCTTCATCTTCACTTCCACCTACTCAACCTTTTCTCTCCTTTATTGCCTTCTCCTGAGGGTGACCAACCTTCTAGATTTACCCAGGACTGTCCCATGATTGTATATAATGTAATATTTCATTGTGGTTTTGATTTGCATTTTCTTAGTGAGCAACGATGTTGAATATCTCTTTATGCACTTGATGATCATTTGTATATCTTTTGGAAGAATATCTAAATCCTTAGCCCATTTAAAAATGGGGTTAAAAAAACTGGGTTGTGTGCTATTTTGTTGAGTTGTCAAGATTTTTTCATATATTCTGAATACTAAACCTTTACTGAATCGATTTGCAACATTTTCTCCTATTCTGTAGGCTGTCTTTTTAGTTTCTTGATGCTGTCTTTTGAAATATAAAAGTGTTTAATTTTGGTGATGTCCAGTTTATGATTTTCTTCTTTTTGTTTGTGCTTTTGGTGGCATATCTAAGAAATCATTGCCTAATCTAGGGTCAAAAAGATTTATGTCTATATTTTCCTCTAGGAATTTTAAAGCTTTAGCTATTATATTCAGGTCTTTAATCCATTTTGAACTATTTTTCATATAGAGTGTGAGGTAGGTGTCTGACTGTGGTGAGATAGGTGGGTCTCCAGCTGTCCTCATCATATGTTGAAGAAATTATTCTTCCCCTTCCCCATTAACTCAATATTTTGGCATCCTTGCCAAAAATTGATTGATGATAAATGTGTGGATTTATTTCTGAATTTTTCATGATATTTTATTGATCTATGTAATCTATCCTCATAACAGGACCACACTGTCTTGATTACTGCAACTTTGCAGTAAATTTTGAAATTGAGAAGTATGTGTCCTCTTCTTTTTTAAAGAAGAACATTCATTCCTATACTAATTTTCAGATTTTGTTAATTTTTACAAAGAAATAAGCTGGGATTTTGGTAGGGATTACATTGTATCTGTAGATCAAATTGGAGAGTATTGCCTTAACAATATTAAGAGTATCTTAACAATATTAAGTTTTCCAATTCATGAACGTGGGAAGTGTTTTCATTTATAGAGATTTTCTTTTATTTCTTTCAACAACTTTTTCAGTTTCAGAGGATGAACTTTGTACTTCTTTTGCTAAATTTATTTCTAAGTACCTTATCCATTTTGATGCTATTACAAGTGGAACTAATTTCATTTTTGGTATGTTTACTGTGATGGTATAGAAATAGAATAAATTTTTGTCTATTAATCTTTTTTCCTACAACCCTGCCAAACTCATATATCAGTTCTAATATTTTTTAATAGAAAATCTTAGGATTTTCTGTGTATAAGATCATGTCTTTGGTAAATACAGAGAGGTTTACTTCTCCTTTCCCAACCTTTATTTCTTTTTCTTATTTAATTGCCTTGGCTAAAACCTCCAGTACAATATTGAATAGGAATTGCAGGAGTGGACATCTTTGTCTTGTTCCTGATCTTAGAGGACCACTGGGAGAAAGCATTCAGTGTTTCACCATTAAATATATTAGGTGACAGTTTTTGAGGATGCCCTTTATTAGGATGATAGGTGTTTTGATTTCTTATCTATTGAGTGTTTTTATACAAAAGGGAAGTTGATTTTTGTTAGGTGTTCTTCTTGCATCAATTGAGATGACCATGTGGTCTTTGACATTTGTTCTATGGTTGTGGTGTGTTACAGCAATGAACTTTCAGATGTTATACCAACCTTGCACTCTTAGGTTAAACGCAAATAAGTATTTCTTAAATTGAATTCATGATGAGCAAATTATGTAAGGACTGGGTAAAAATTAACTCAATAAATGGAAGGAGAAACAAGACTGGAAAATAATTTCCATTTTAAGATAGTCACTACTTAGGAATTATGGAAACTTTAAAAGTAGAATTGTTCTTGTGGAAAGATTGTAAGAGACTGTAAGAATATCAATTAAAGCACTTTACCACTCTTTGAGCCCTTTGATCCTATAATTCTCATTTAAAGTTCTAGAACTAGATCTTCATGATATTCTAGATTTAACAAAACTCAACAACCTGTGTCAAATATCCCTACTCTATAAAAATTACTATAGTCCTTTTCTCATAGATTAGATCAATGTCTGCCTCCCTACACACACACATACACACACACAGAGACGTAAACACATATCCTTCCCAGGTACTGTCTTAAATGAGAGTATCATTGCTATCTATCCTTATTGAATATTTTAAAGTACTTATCCAAAAATTGTGTTAATTAGAAACATTGTGAAGTTATTTACAACTTTCTAATCAGATTCCACTCTTAGTGCTAAGACCCTCATAGAGAAACATAAGGACAGAAAAACTTACTTTTAATTGTGACCCCAAGAATTAACAATATCTCTATGAGCAGGAACAAGGGCTTCATCTTCTTCTAAGTAGCTCCTTCTTACTGTAACACAGGCAGAACTAGGTGGCTAGCCCACAAGCTTCCTCTTTTCAGGCCTGTAGGGGTCAGGACTTGGTTGCTAAGCAACAATTTCCTTACTCTTGGGCCAATGAGCTGCCAGGAATTTCCTTTCAACCTGGGATGATGGCAGCTGATGGACAGAGCAGGCTGTGGGCAAGGAACCATATCTAGTTTGCTACTTCTCTGGTGAGAGATAAGTGGTAGGCTTGAAATAGGTAGGAGTTGCTCTCTGAACTCTTTTCAGAGTTTCTGGAAGTTCTTATTTTTATGTTACCTCCAGAGGTGCAAGCTGCAATTATGGGAAAGCACAATTAAGCACATGAACTAACCCGACATCATCCTTTAATCTAACATCTCAAGGGTACAGAGGACAAGAAGCATATGGACAACTATGTTGTCCCCATCTTGGTGAAAATGTTCCTTCTCTGTTCAAGTAAGGAACTGCTGATGTTTTACTAGGGCCAAGACAAATTTCAATCAATTACATTTTTAAAAGAGTGTTTAATTAAGCATTTTTATAAAAGGTGTTCAAAAATGCCTCATTTACTATCTTAAAATATATGGGCATTTCACAAATGAATATCCTCAAGGCTAGGACCAGATATTAAAATGAGCATTTAGGTTGTGAAAGTCGCTCAGTTGTGTCCGACTCTTTGTGACCCCCATGGACTATTCAATCCATGGAATTCTCCAGGCCAGAAAGCTGGAGCAGGTAGCCTTTCCCTTCTCCAGGGGATCTTCCCAACCCAGGGATCGAACCCAGGTCTCCACAATGCGGGCAGATTCTTTACCATCTAAGCCACCAGAGAAGCCCAAGAATACTGGAGTGTTCTCCAGTGGATCTTCCCGACCCAGGAATCAAACTAGGGTCTTCTGCATTGCACGTGGATTCTTTTACCAACTGAGCTATCAGGGAAGCCTGAGTATTTAGGTAAAAGTATGGCAATATTAACATTATCCAAAGGATGGAGCCAGTAAAGCAATCATACTTAAAATATACCCAACTTTTACAGTGTGTTCAGATAATTACTTCAGAAACTGATGTATTTACCGCCTTGAATTTTCAGGTTTAACTTACTTCCTTTATTGTCACTGCTGTTCTGATGAATACTACAAAACCCCCAGAAATTTATTCTCTTATAGTTCTGGAGGTCAGGAGTCTGAAAGGATTCTTACAGGACCAAAATTAAGAGCAGGTCTAGGGACTTCCCTGGTGGTCCAGTGGATAAGACATCCAGTTCCCAATGTAGGGGACCTGGGTTTGATCCCTGATCAGGGAAGTAGATCTCACAAGCTGCAAAGCCGACCCGGTGTGGCCAAATAAAAAAAAAAAAGTTTTTTAAAAAAAGAGAGAGCAGACCTAGTTTGTTCAGGGGAGAATCCATTCTTTGCCTGGAATTATCCAGCTTTTAGTGGCTGCCCACATTTCTCAGTTTGTGGCTACATCACTCCAATCTCTGCACAACCATCACTGTGCTTTCTCCTCTTCTGTGATTTAATCTTTATCTGTCTCCCTCTTAGGACACTTGCAATTACATTTAGGGACCACCAAAATACAGGATAACCTCCCCATCTCAAGATCCTTAGTCATATCTGCAAAGTTCCTTCTGCCAAATAAAGTAACATTCATAGGTTCTAGAGATTAGGTCCTAGAAATCTCTGGGATCACTTTTTAATCTACCAGAGTCCCTAATATCTTTTCCTTTCACTAAGGGACTTCAAAATATAACTGTCCCAACATCTGTGCTTTAAAAAAGTGTCTAAATAAAATTTATTTAAACTCTTAATATCATCCATTAAACATTCCTTACACAATCTTTTTACCAGTCCCCATTTGGATCCAGAATTATCAGCATCTTTCTGCAGATGATTTTGCTTCTTGTTTTCACTCAAACTATGGCCATTTGACCTGTCTTCCCTCGACTTCCTTCCTCCTATGTTCAAACTTCTCTCACTTTTGATTCTATCCACATTTACTTTCTCTGGTACTTCAATCTATTTAGCATTTGTTCTTCTTTTTCTCTTTTTGTCTCTTTGTCTTTTTATTTCAATCTTTTTGTATCAATCTTCTTAAAAACTCTTCATTCCATCTCTCCTAGAAAAATTTTCTTTTGACTCTAGTATCCTTACTACTGCTATTAACATCTTCTCTATTTATCTTTTAGACTCTAAATATCTCAAAATAATACTCCATAATCACTGCTCCTGTCTTGCTGCCTCTCACTTTTTCTTCAACTATTTGCTTTTATTTTCATTAATCTACATAGACGATAAACCCAATTATCTTTTCTCAGTTCTTATCCTACTTAATCTCTGTGAGATATCTGACATTTCTGATCATTAACATCTTCTTGAAAATATAGTATTGGTTTTTCTGGAAATGGAATTGCTATTAATTTTCTATACTGTTGAATAAACTTCTCATTCTTCCACTGCGTCCTCCCTCATTCAGTCACGTGTTGAAAATCTGCCATATGCTAAAGATGAATGGTAATACTTTTTGAGGTGATCACAACAATTTTATCTGTTAGTTCCTCTCTTGGTCTTCACGTTAAAATTAGGGTCTCCCATTTTGGTCTCATGTACTCTTGATGAAAGTGAAAGAGGAGAGTAAAAAAGTTGGCTTAAAGCTCAACATTCAGAAAACTAAGATCATGGCATCTGGACAAAGAATCAGACATGACTGAGCGACTGAACTGAACTCTTCCTTAATTTTGCTAACATTTCTCTATAGATGCTTCCTTACATTTCATTCATTCAATAAACCTTTATTATGTGCCAGGCATTGGGCATTTTCTGTGAATGGTGAGCAACAAGATATACTTCCTATCCTCAGAGAGCTTGTTAAGTCTATATTAAAAGATAAATATTAATAAAATAATCTCACAAAACCTGTGAAAAGTGTTTTATAAGAAAATGAATTAGTACTGATGACATATAAGGGGAAACTGTGTGTAGAGGCCAGGTGGGATCAGAATCACCGAAGGTTTTGCCAGGGAGAAGATTTTGCCAGCTATACTCTGAAGAAAGAGAATGGGTTGACTAAGCATGACATGTCCTAGGTATAGTGATAAACATGTGACAAGGCCATGTGTTGAGAATAAGATGTGTTCAAGGAGCTGAAAAGCTCTAAGGGCTGCTTTGGTTGTAATCAGAGATGGGTGGCGGGGTGAAGCATGGTATAAATTAAAGCAGAATTGGTAGTGAGGGTCACTCCTAAATGATTGTTTTAACAATGACTGTTTTAGTCAGCTTGGGTGGCCAAAACAAAATACTGGGTGGTTTGAACAACAGAAATCAATTTTCTAACAGTTCTAGAAGCTGGAAGTCCGTGATCAGTGTACAGTGTCATCTGATTCTTGTGAAGGCTCTCTTTCTGGCTTGCAGATAGCTGCCTTCTCACTTTGTCTTTACATGATGGGGGACAGTGGAATCAGGACCATGGAGTTAGAGGGAAGGGGGAAAAGAGAGAGAGTGTGTGAACTCATCCTCTTTTTTTAAGGTCACAGTCCTACTGGATTAGAGCTCTACCCTTATGACCTCATTTAACCCTAATGACCTCCAAAAGACCCTATATCCTGATATAACCATATCGTGGGCTAGAGTTTCAACATATGAATTTTTTGGGGAAACTCAATTCAATCTATAATTAAGACCATCAGAAAGTGACTTAATGAGCTACAACAGTGAAATGACTTGATCAAATTTGACAACTCTAGGTGCAGGGCAGCGAACAGACAGAAGAGAGGCAAAAGTTGACAGGGGGACAGACAGTAAGGAAGTCTTTTATTCAGACTTAGCTTACTGCAGTGATATTGGAAAGGTGAGTAATTCAAGAATAGTAGTATGGAAGTAAAACTGAGAAGTATAGCCATTCATTTGAAATGAGAGAAAAGTTTAAAGAGGTACCAGAATCCCAGGGATGGCAGAGCCTGGTGGACTGCCATCTATGGGGTCGCACAGTCAGACACGACCGAGGTCACTTAGCAGCAGCAGCAGCAGCAGGGATAGTGCTTAGGTTTCTATATTGCTCAACTGAAGTGGGTGATGAAGCCATTCAAAGAGATGAAGATAATGGAAGAGGTCTAAGAGTGGGGGAAAGACCAGTGTGGTACATGGTACATTTCAAATACTTCTGAGATATTAAAAATTAATATTTAGTAAGCTCCAGGAGTTGGTGATGGACAGGGAAGCCTAGTGTGCTGCAATCCATGGAGCAGCAAAGAGTCAGACATGACTGAGTGACTGAACTGAACTGAATGGTTTTCAATGGTATTTTGTCAGAGTAATTAAAACTAAATACTGAAACAAGGACCCTCTAACTACCAATGCCTTAACACAATACATAAGTTTCTTATTTACATCATAGCCCAATGTGGTACTCCTCGGAGCCCAGAGATACTCCTTCAAACAGTGACTCAGGGATCTGAGTTCCTTCCTTCTTGAGATGCTGTTTCTGTGATCACTGTGGAAAAGAAAGAGAATATGAATGAGTGCACAGATGGTCTGACAGTTAGGCCTGGAAGTGGCATGTATAACCTTTGTCCCATAACTGACCCAGGATGCAGTCATATGTACTAACTAAATTCAAGTGAAAGTCACTCAGTCAAACTCTAGGTGCAGGGCAGCGAACAGACAGAAGAGAGGCAAAAGTTGACAGGGGGACAGACAGTAAGGAAGTCTTTTATTCAGACTTAGCTTACTGCAGTGATATTGGAAAGGTGAGTAATTCAAGAATAGTAGTATGGAAGTAAAACTGAGAAGTATAGCCATTCATTTGAAATGAGAGAAAAGTTTAAAGAGGTACCAGAATCCCAGGGATGGCAGAGCCTGGTGGACTGCCATCTATGGGGTCGCACAGTCAGACACGACCGAGGTCACTTAGCAGCAGCAGCAGCAGCAGGGATAGTGCTTAGGTTTCTATATTGCTCAACTGAAGTGGGTGATGAAGCCATTCAAAGAGATGAAGATAATGGAAGAGGTCTAAGAGTGGGGGAAAGACCAGTGTGGTACATGGTACATTTCAAATACTTCTGAGATATTAAAAATTAATATTTAGTAAGCTCCAGGAGTTGGTGATGGACAGGGAAGCCTAGTGTGCTGCAATCCATGGAGCAGCAAAGAGTCAGACATGACTGAGTGACTGAACTGAACTGAATGGTTTTCAATGGTATTTTGTCAGAGTAATTAAAACTAAATACTGAAACAAGGACCCTCTAACTACCAATGCCTTAACACAATACATAAGTTTCTTATTTACATCATAGCCCAATGTGGTACTCCTCGGAGCCCAGAGATACTCCTTCAAACAGTGACTCAGGGATCTGAGTTCCTTCCTTCTTGAGATGCTGTTTCTGTGATCACTGTGGAAAAGAAAGAGAATATGAATGAGTGCACAGATGGTCTGACGGTTAGGCCTGGAAGTGGCATGTATAACCTTTGTCCCATAACTGACCCAGGATGCAGTCATATGTACTAACTAAATTCAAGTGAAAGTCACTCAGTCGTGTTGAATCTTTGGGATCCCATGGACTATATAGTCCATGGAATTCTCCAGGCCAGAATACTGGAGTAGGTAGCTTTTCCCTTCTCCAGGGGATCTTTCCAATCCAGGGATTGAACCCAGGTCTCCCACATTGCCGGCAGATTCTTTACCAGCTG